GAGAGGGAGAGGGAGAGGGAGAGGGAGAGGGAGAGGGAGAGGGAGACATCAATGATGATAGAGAGTCATTGATCTGCTGCCTCCTGCATGCCCCCACTGAGGATCAAGCCCGAAACCTGGGCATGTACCCTTACCGGGACTCAAACCATACCTCCTTGTTCATAGGTTGACACTCAACCACTGAGCCATGCTGTCTGGGCAACCTGTGCAAATTTTAGAGCGACAATCATGAGCTAAATTTGTAGCAAAACCTGGGTTGTAGCTGACTATAGCTAAAGCCTAAGTGATTCCATCAGAGAGAAGGAGTAGGCCTCAGAGACAAGGATCCAGGGTGCTCCTTATATAAAGTTGTGCTGTCCAATAAGGTAACTACTAGCCACATGTGGCAATTTAAATTTAACTACCATTAAATCAAATATAAAATTCATTTCCTCAGTGATACCTGCCACATTTTAAGTGCAAAATAACCTCATGTGGCTGCCCTATTGGAAAGTGCAGATACAGTACATTTCCATCATCACAGAAAGTTCTATTGGACAACGCTTATAATAGTTGAGTCTAATATAAAACTCCCTAGTGGCCACAATCATGTGATTTTGTAGTAATCTCAAGGATGCTTCACTAAACCTCTCTACTGAGGTTTGAACATTTGCCGTCAGAGACCAGTAGCTTTAAAGACTTTTCAATCATCAAACAGGTAATAATTTAAGCTAGGATCATGTAAATGTCCCCAGGTTTAACACTACTGGAATTTTCTGAGACTAGCTATGTATCTATCCAGGATTCTTCAGATTGCCTGCATTTATCCAATACAATGGGTGTAAGATATTGAACCTATCCCTGTAAGGTAGGGATCTGGCACAGACATTCTGGAGAATGGTACTGAAGGGTTGTAGACCATCATGACCAAAACTTTATATTTTCCTTTCTTTACCTTTGCTTTTAATATTTGTTGGACTTGATCTTATAGACAATACAAAACACTATATGTTCCTTTACACCCCTCTCTCCCCAACTTCAGCATCCTACCAGTGCTGCTTCCTTCACTCACCCACATCTTTACTTTCATTCATGACTCTTGATAAGACTGACCTTTGACCTTCATCAGCCTCTCCTTGAACAATCCCTCTTGGGTCAGCCACTCTAATTATGCCTTATTCTATTTAACATCTATGTATCTAATTCTAATTTTACTATGTTTGTTCTTGTGTATTTTCATTCATTCTCTATCCAACTTCTATGGGTAAGTTGCTTAGAACAAAAATTCTGCTTTATAATTATTACCTTCCTTGAGCTTATGGGATATAAAGCAGTGCCTAGAGTGGAGAATCCAGTCACCCAGGGGTGTTTCATTAGTTAAGAAGATGACTTCCCATTTTAAAAACCCAGGATTTAAAAAAAATCCCAGAATGCATACATTGTAGGCTTAGTTCCTTTGTCATCCCAGAAATGAAATGGCATATCTATTTAAATGGGAGCTAAAAATATGGGGTTTTGTAAAGTCTCAATTGAGTCACATAATCTCTTTCCTACTATGCATCCCCTTTAAGCTAGGTGCTTGCCAATGTTTTAACAATGCAAGCCTTTCCTAGTAGAAATTTTACTCTAGTAAGCTATTTTTTTTTAAGCAGAAGAAACTATTAGGTGATGGTTACAGTTGTACTGTGAGGAAGAAGATATAAATGATACCCATCATTTTAAATCTGCCATGTCCTCCTCACTGCACACTTGTAGTTAGTATACCTGTTGTCTCCTTCCTATCAAGCCAAGCTAAAATAATTTGGAATGTTCAAGATCACTCATCCACATGTATGCACACATATTCACTCCCTATTTTCCCTACATGAAGTAAGATTACTGACTGGAGAACTACAAAGTGCTAGGTTTTAGTTTTTCCCCACAGGTGAAGAACCGATCTACTTTCCAGAATACTTGAGAATGACTGAATAAAATTTCTGCATTGTTTCCGTCTTCACCAGAGCACTGTCCACACCCACCTCCACCCAGTTTCTCATGAAACGTTACTTGTTTTCAAAAATATGAGATAAATTTGAGCCCAGCCAGAGTGGCTCAGCGGTTGAGCATCAACCTAGGATCCAGGAGATTGAGGTTGGATTCCCGGTCAGGGCACATGCTTGGGTTGCGGGCTTGATTCCCTGTCGGGGGGCGTGCAGGAGGCAGCTGATCAATAACTCTCATCCTTGATGTTTCTATCTCTCTCTCCCTCTTCCTTCCTCTCTCTGAAATCAATAAAAACATATTTAAATATATATATAAGATAAATTTGACTATATAAAAGTCACTTTTAGACAAAGAAGAAACAGATATGAAACAAACCAGAATCTCTCATTTGTGGAAGAGCCAGTTCCACCCCATCACGGTTAATCTGCAGGGTGGAAATACTTGATTTGATTGCAGACAAGACTGCAACACACCTGCTGCAGCCCAAGGCATCAAGAGAAAGCAAGCAACAGCTGGGGTTTCAAAGGCCAAAATATTCTATGGCAATGAAATAGAATACAGTGTTCAACAATGTCACCTAGAAAAGAGTGATACAAAATGCTGATGCTTCATAAAAGGGGGTGGGGGTAAAGCAAGAACTTAGGTAAAGAAATACGCAAAAGAACATAGAGAGTTGACTTTCATCTAGAGTAATGAACAGCTTGAACGAACTGGGAAGGTTTAGTCTGTTAAAGAAAAGGTTTAAGTGAGTTGTTTGCAAGTGCTAAAGTGCTACAGGGGGAAGGGGAAGACGACTTTTTGTGGATTTATGGGTGAAAGTTACAGGCAGATTAGGCAGATTCTGGCCCAGGTTCTAGCCCTTTCCAACCACAGGGTCGGTTACGGGGGGGTTTGGGCAGCTTCGGGAGGAAACGCTGGTTTAAAAAATGTGTAATTGTTGACCTGAAGAGTTGTTCTGTCACTGGGGACAGCAGCTGCCGGATAACCCCATGAAGAGAATGTCGAGGGCATTGTTTCACCTAGGGGGAGATTAGAGTAGGCTAGGGGACAGCTTTGAGACCCTAAGGAGCTATGTGCCCTCTCCACGTGGCCCGTCCGTGGTCGAGTTCATTTCTTACCTTATTCTAGGGCTTCTACCTCGAAGGCTGGAGGCAAGACCTTCTCAACCGCAGCGGTTGCCGCAGACGCTTCCCATAACCCCCATTGGTTCTGGCCTGCAAGGCCCCTCCCCGCCCCCAACCTCAAAGGTGCAGGCCCGCTTGCCAGACTTGGAACTCGCAACAACTTGACAGAAGGCCTGAGAGAGAGGTGGAGGGAGGTACAAGGCCAATTTCCTTCATTTTCCCTCCAAATGCCCACTGGTGGGCTCA